CCGGTGAGGGGAGCCTGCCACTGTCCCCCTGGAGCCACCGGGAACCTGTGCGAAGATGGTGAGATCTTGTTCAGGATTTCTTTGCTGTCTTGCATTCTAATATTGCAAAGGTGACTCTCCTGGCTGGGGACGATGGGAAGGAGAGGTAATAGGCATATAGGGAGATGGTAAAACGTGCCTCTTTGCCCTCTTGATGATCTGCCCTTCTCAGCTTCCAAACTCCTTCCCTTGGTGGCCCATCTCTTTCAGTCTGCCCAAAAGGATATTTTGGAAAGCAGTGCCAGAAGAAATGCCATTGTGCCAACAGGGGACGCTGCCACCGGGTTTTTGGCACCTGTCTCTGCGATCCGGGACTCTACGGGCGCTTTTGTCACCTAGGTAAATCCCCCATGGTGGCTTCTTCTCCCCAAGATGTAAGAAGGACCCTCGGAGACCCCATCCCATTGATCTTCTTTCCCCATCTTGGGCCCCTTCATTTCAGCTTGCCCAAAATGGGCGTTCGGGATTGGTTGTTCTGGAGAGTGCCAGTGCGTGCAAGCCAACACCCAACGCTGCGACAAGCGAGATGGCAGCTGCGTGTGCAAGGCGGGCTACCATGGTGAAAGGTGCCAAGCGAGTAAGTTGGGTTGGGGACAAATCAGGGATTGATCACTGACTTGCTGAACGGGTTTCCAGCTGGGATCAGAGCGGGATGGGCGAAGAACTGGGGGCTGCGTTCGCACAAGAAGCCAAGCTTGGGTTGTGTTATCCTGGGTTTGCCTTTGTTGTGTGAATTTGGCCCAGTTCAGGAACCTGTGAAGCTTGTTGGGCGATGGCCTCGATGCTGGTAGGAAAGTGTCTAGGAACATTTGAACCCAAGACCTTCTGACTTATGTTTGGAAATAGAAGGGAGTCTGATCCAATAGGAGAAAAACAACCTGGTGTCTTCAGATGTTTGGGACTTCAACTCCCATCATCCTGAGCCAGCAGGGCGAGCAGGTAGCAATTTAAGGGAGGCGTCCACCTAACATGTCAGGAGCACCACGTGGCCCATCCCAGGTCTACTTTAATTGGAGATGAAGATGCAGCTCTTCCTGAGCCAGCTTGAGGGGGGGACCATAGGTCAAAAAAGTCAAGATAGTAGCCCCAACCCCATGACCCAAGCCGTGCCCTTTTTGTTCTGTGTCAAAAACGCCAAGATGGCAGATGAATCGAAGTAGGGCTTTGATTGGTGGGTGGTGGCCACCATCTTGACTTTTCCAACCCCTTCTGTGGAATCTAGCCTGAGCCTTTTGGGGTGGAAAAGAATCCAGGGTATTCTGCGTAACGGGTTTCCTCCGAGTCTCTTCAACTCTTGGCTGTGTGAATTCCTACATCTGGATATAGTGGAGCAGAATGGAAAGGAGATGCCAAGATTGTTGGGTGGGAGAGTTGGTTTCTCCTCTGGGCATACCCATGCCCTTCTTGTCCCACCCACATTGGCTCCCAGGATCTCCCCCATGGCCTGCCCTCCCTCCCTTCCTCCTTTCCATCCATCCATCCATCCATCCATCCATCCATCCATCCATCCATTGGTGGCACCCCCATGCTTGAGTTGGGACTTGCAAGAGATGATTGCCCACCCAGATGTTCTCCTTGATGGTCCCCCTTGACCATGAAAGTGACGCAGAGTTTCTGGTCTGCAGAGTGCGACCTGGGCCGTTACGGGCCAGGGTGTAGGCACAAGTGTAACTGCCCCTCTGGCGTGCCCTGTGACCACGTGAGCGGAGAATGTCACCAGCAGTGTGCCGAGGGCTATTACGGAGAGGACTGCCAGCAAGGTAGGTTGTGATGGGTCCTACCTGGTGGGCGCGATGACATTTGTGGAGAAGATCCAGGTGTTGCTCATCATTCTTGAAGCTCTTTGTAGTATCCTGCAACGGAAGGGAGCTTGGTGGTTGATGTCACGGCCACGTTCCTCTTTCTGGCCACCATTAGTGTAACAGTCAAAGCTCTTCCAAACAGTTTGGAATAATCTCATTTTTCTTGAACGACAGAAAAGAAGCATTTGCCCTTGTGTTAAAACTTTCATATAAGGAGGTGTCATGATGGAACGATCTGGCTACGGCTGAGGAAGGAGAGCATGTAAGGGTTTTTTAAGGTAGTTGAGGTGTTAAGCCTTTAAGGCAGTGTTGTCCAAACTTGGCCACTTTAAGATGAGTGGACTTCAACTCCCATGCTGGCTGGGGAATTCTGGGAATTCTGGGAGTTGAAGTCCACTCATCTTAAAGTGGCCAAGTTTGGACAAACTGCTTTAAAGAGACGACCTAGCTTTTCACAAGGGCACTCTTGGGTTCTGGGTTCTCATGCAAAAAAATTCAGAAACCATTTTAACGGCCAGAGAACATCTGCCCGACATCTGCCCGTTAGCAGCAAAGGAAGGATTCCCAGCAAACAATGCTCTTATTGTTATATTGTTTTTTGGTCTTTTAATTAAGATTTATTGTTGTTTTATTGTGAACCGCCCAGAGTCGCTTTTTCGTGAGATGGGCGGTCTCTAAATTTAAAATATAAATAAAATAAATAAATGAAATCCCCCCCATCTGAGCCTTCCCCTGCTCGCCCCGGGTTATTGTTTTTCAAACTTTTTTGACCGTTTCCAGATCGTCTCGAGTCAAGCTGCTGCTGCTCTGGGATAGAAGCAGCTGTGAAATTCACGTTGCATTGGGAAATTTGAGAAATGAAGATTTTAACATAGAAGTGGGGTAGGATTTATTCTGGGTGGCCCCAGAGGGCAGAACCAGAACGAGGGGGTTAAAATGAGAAAGAGGTCAAATGGGATTTTTTTTTGGTTTTTTACTGTTGCATTTCTTACATTTCTATTCTGGCATTTATTACGTTTACACGATGCCGCGTTTATACCCTGATTTTTCTCTAGGACAGCAAGGAGACCCGGCAATCTTCCAAATGTCGGGCGTTTCATTTCCCAAATGCCTTTGCAAAAACGTCCACACGCCGCTGCTTCTCAACATCTGGAAGACTGATTCTGAATTTTTCAATGCGTTGGTTTTGAATTTTCGGCAATCGTCGGGGTGGCAAAGTTGGGGCAAAGCTGGGATTTTGTTCCGCACAGCACGAGAAGAGAGATTTAAAGGGGTGTCTTTTTTTTTCTCCTCGGTAGAGTGCCCTGAAGGGAAATTTGGCGTGAATTGCCTTCATTCCTGTTCCTGTAATGGTTCTTCTTGCAGCCGGTTCACTGGGGAATGCCACTGTGTGGCTGGCAAGACGGGGCTGGCTTGCGACCAAGGTGAGTCAAGAGGATCAAGTCTCTGGAGGTTCCGCGGTCCCTATTTTACAAACTTGCCACCGCATCGCAACGGGAACAGATAAATCCCAGGCGGATGTGAAAGAAGTGGGCGATCCAGCAAGAAAGCCGTTTTGAGGTTTGGAAACTCCTCGATCAGCTCTGGAGCTCTTTGACGAGCGCGTGGATCCGACGTCACCCCGCTTCTCTCGATCAGCGCGCTGCCGTTCTTGCGGATCGAAATAGATCAAACCGTGCGCCGAATTACGATCGAGAGTGGCGTATCTTGAGAAAAAGGGATATATTTGTACGGGGAGCAAATGAAGGCATTTGAATGAAAACTTTGCGAGAAATGTCACTCTTTTTAATACCGGTTTTATATTTGCTTTAATATTCGGTCAGAGAGAGCGAGAAGGACACATTGCCAAAGAAATTAAAGCAATAGAAAAAGATCAAAAATGCATTAAGGTGGCGCCAGAAAACAGTTCTGTTTTTAAGCCCAGAATTCAACCTAGTTCTAGAGCAAATGCCTCTTGCTGGTCTGTGATTGTAGATTTGGGCCAGTGTAGATTTTTTATCGTAAAAAGCGCAATCAGTAGATCCGTAATTCTTCACATAATGCTAACATTTTGGCTATATGGTTCAGAATCCCATTTGCAATTTTAAACCATGTTAGACTTTCCAAAACTAGATTAAATGGATATTAAATCAAAACAGGGTGATGCTGGAGTAAGCTGGTTACTGTATTGATTTATACTTCCAATGTAACTGAGTTGGCAGTCAACCCTTTTGAAATATTCTCTGAATAAACCTGGATATATAAATATGATCAACCAATCAATCGATCAATCAATATCTTTTGTTGAACTGATCGCATTTTAACATTGTGAGAAACATACTTAATATTCTTTAAACACTGATTTCTTATTGCAAAGTCCTCATAAATGTCTAACCATCAGTTTAGCTATATGCTTTCATGGTTCATTTAAAAAAAAAATGTGGATTTGGAATAATCCAGAACCTGTTTCAGTGGGGAGAGTAAATCAGGACCGTCACCAAATTGAAATTGTTCTGAACAATACAGATTTCTCTTGCAGTAACTCTTACAGTTAAAAAAAAACTTGATTGGTAACTCGGTTAGTTAAGATAGAAATAGCCCATGAATTAAGAAAGAAGGAAAGATTTCACCTGCTGTTTTCAAACTGGAGTCATCCCACAAGTATAAATTGAATGTGTGAATAATTATATTTCCATGTCTGGATCTTCCAAATACGCTTTGCAGCCTTTAGTCCTTCAGAAACAGTTGACTCTGAGAAAAAGAAAGGAATCAGACCTTGTATAATCTGGGAAGGTCACATAAATCAGGCTTAAATGATTAAGGACACCACCGTTAGCTTAACTGGAAGATTACATTGGCCAAGGTGTTCGCTGTCTGGTTTGATGATGGATAATGATGGAGTTGGAAAGAATCATGGTTTGTTATGGGATGTGGCTAGGAATCAAGGTGATCCATCTTAATGAACCTGGGTAGGTTCCAACTCTTCCAAGGGAACATCAATCCGACACTCAACCATGCCCACATCATCTTTCTCTTTCTTCTCCAGATTGTCCTGAAGGCCACTGGGGAGATGGTTGTCAGCAAATTTGTCCACAGTGCCAAAATAATGCCGGTTGTGACCCGGCCACTGGGGCCTGCTTATGTCCTTCTGGATACACAGGGAGCCGTTGCCAAGAGAGTAAGTTGCAAACTCGTGTTGCTTTTGAACCAACTGCTGTGACTTTTCTTGCATTCTAGAGATGTTAAGAGAATGCAACCACATCTTCAAGGTGACTTCCATCCTTTTGTCTCTGTAAGAACCCCAAATCTGGGGGTGGGGGCACTTTTGCTCTTTTTAGGAGGTCCCTGTCTGTTATCCCAGATTCAGGTTATAGCTTGGGGAACTACCTACCAACTGCAGGAAATTTTGGAGCACCTCCAAGAATAAGCGGCCGAACTACACATTACACCCAACTGTTTACTGCTTCTGAACAGCCCTGGGAGAATAGGGGTTCGATCAGAGGTGATTGTGTTTGACTCCCTCTTTTCTCTTTGTTTCCATTTCACCACGTAAAACAGTTTTTCTTCTAGAGAAAAAGAATCACCTGATCTATATTCCTGTAATAATTCACCCATTCCTACTGTTCTCCAACTCAACGTAATTGTCAGTTCTTCTGTGGTTGTTGATCAAGATAAAGCTCTTTCTGTCTTGATGGAAAGAAAAATGAGGCAGATGGATAGAGGAAGAGTTTAATATCCCCTGCCGAAAGGAAAGGAAAGGAAAGGAAAGGAAAGGAAAGGAAAGGAAAGGAAAGGAAAGGAACTTCTTTTCAATAGATAATTCCATTTTTTTTCTCCTGTTTTCCCTTCCAGTGTGCCCACCTGGCTGGTTTGGGCAAGGATGTCAACTCCAGTGCAACTGCGACAACGGAGGGGACTGCGATCCCCAAACGGGGAAGTGTAGCTGTGCCCCTGGGTGGACTGGCTACCGATGCCAAAGAGGTGAAATAGAAAAAGAAATGAAGATGGTGATGATTCTTCAAGCCCTGAGGACGCGAGACCGTCTATCTCTCTCCCCAGCACTGACAAATTTTTTAGGCCACGGAGGTCCCAGAAAAATCCACATCCTTTATCCAAAGACCTCTTTCCATGCCCTAGGAATATAATCCCCAAGAATGAAACAGCGAAAAATGTTTCATCCTGTTTTAAAATGGAGTTCATACACGGAGCAACATGTAACAATTGCAGGGTGTTGTAGAAATGTAATTTTAATGCAACGAGGTCGCTTAAAATTACGTTTGTACAATGTCCTATAAGTGTTTCCAACAAGGCAACCTTTTATTTAAGCCCACTCTGTGTAATTGCAATAATCCAATATATTTGAATATAGACAGGCTATTAGATCGTGATGCAAATATATTGCTAGATATAGCAATGTCATAAGACATAATCTAAGACCTGTTTTGGGGTTGGGGTTGACACCCCGTCTCATTCTGAAGGCAAAATAGCAAAAAAATCCAGGGTCTGGTAGCCCTTTTGGGGACTAAGCAATTTGATGCCACGGGTTTCAGTTGGGAAATCAGTAGCTGTTTTAACTGTAAATGTGTGCGTGCCGCTAAATGTACCAGGCAGATAATATTTGTCCTTTAAAGTGGAGCTAATGAAAAAACGTCCTTTTTTATCTTCCACTTGAACCAAATCAACCCACCTGCCCATTTTTTGCAAAGAGAAATAACAAAGGAAAAGGAGAATGGATGATTCCCGTCACTTGCAATTCATCTGAGATATAAATGGTTTAATTCTTCCTGATTGTCTGGGCTTTGTGCGCACAACTGCACCGATTCTCCCCTTGGCTTTTTCCAGCCTGCGACCCAGGCCTCTGGGGTCCGGACTGTGCCCGCCCATGTAACTGCTCTGGGGGAGACGGCACCTGCAGCGCCCTGACGGGGCAGTGCCTCTGCGAAGCCGGCTACGTCGGCAGGCGTTGCGATCAGAGTGAGTGCGGCTCTGCGCGGCCCGTTCGCCCCAAACAGCCGGGCTTGCCGCGCGTCCGTGGGAGGGGGCTGCGGATGCTGACTTCCCCAAGCTGGCAGGGCGGGAGTGAATTCACAGTTCCCCAGCCAGCAGGGCTGTGGTTGAGAATGGCGGGTGTGGAAGGCCACACGCTTTGGGGTTTCATCTTCTCAGCCAAGGGACACGTCTGCTAGCAGATTCTGGGGCTCTGGATTTTTAATACTCCTTCCTTCCTTTGTCTCTGTTTTAATTCCTTCCTGCCTTCCTTCCCTTCTTTCTTCTCTCCTTCGCTTTCCCTGCGGTTTTTACTTTCACTTTCACCCCCTTCCACGTCAACCCACTTCCCTCCTTATCACTTTCACTTCCCCCTCACTTCTGCTTTTGCTTCTACTTTCACTCCCTCCTTTTTGCATATCACTTTGTTCCCTTTTGCTTTTACATTCGCTTTCCCTTCCTTCCTTTTCTGATCTTTCACTTCCCCACTTCACTTTCACTTTCACTCCCCGGCTCGCCCTCCCACTTCCCTTCCTTACTTTCGCTTTCACTCCCCCACCTCCCTTTTCACTTTCACTTCCCCCCCTCCTTCCCCCCTCTCCCCCTTTGCTTCCTTTGCTTTTGCTTTCATTTTCACTTTCCCTGTCTTTCTTTTTCACTTTCATTCTCCTTCCTTTCTTTTCATTCTTACACTGTTCCTTCCTTTTCAATTTCCCACCTTTCTGTTCACTTCCACTTTCCTTCTTTTCTGTTCATTTTCACTTTTCCTCTCTCTCCCTCCTCCTCTCCCTCTCCTCCCCCTTTCAATTTCCCCCCTTACTTTCGCTTTCACCCCCACCCACTCCCCTTCTTCTCACTTTCACTTTCCCTGCCCTTTTGCCTTTGCTCTCCCCTCCTGCATTCTCGCTTTCAACGTCACTTTCCCCTTCGCGTTCACTTTCCCTCCCTCCCTTGTCACTTTCACTTTTCCTTCCTTCCTTTTCCGCTTTGACTTTTCCTTCCTTCCTTTTTCACTTCCACTCTTCCTCCCTTCCTTGTCACTTTCACTTTCCCCTCCGCCTTACACTTTCACCCTTCCTTCCTTCCCCTTTTCCTCTTCTTCCTCCCAAGAGTGTCCCGAAGGCTGGTTTGGTTCCAGTTGCCGCCAGAGATGCCAGTGCGACCACCAAGGATCCTGTGACCACGTCAGCGGTGTGTGTACCTGCACTCCAGGCTGGAGAGGAACATTTTGTGAGCGGGGTAAGAACGCCTCACTTTTTTTGTGCTGCTGGGAAGCACCGAGGTGCCTCAGCCCGCGGCCTAATGTGCTCGCATTAAGACATCCTATGGTCTTTGAGAGGGGGAGATGATGCTTCTGCTTCAGTTGCAAATCATGGTGGTCTGCGGGAATGACCTCGGGAGACAGGAGGAAGAGCCACAGCCTAGACAACAGACAGATAAGAGGTGGCTGAACCCCCAGCAGGAAGGGGGATGTGGAAAGTGACTCAGAAGGGACCTCCCTAGTTTCTTGGGCTGTAAAAACAAGGGGGAGAGATGTACTTTCAGACTTGCAAGATTCTGGCAATATAACCTTACAATAAAGATAGAGCTAGTACTCCTGGGTGTGCTTCTTGTCTGGACTACCTCGCAGGGCTGACACAAATCCCCCTCAGAGGCACTGGTTCGACTGTTCATCCCTCCCGACTGGGAGGACGGTACATCTGAATCCAGTGCATGAATTTTATCGCCAGGGCCTCTCCCCCAGCACCAAGATCTTCCGTTTCTCTTTCCTCAGCTTGTCCCGACGGCTTTTATGGGATGGAGTGCCGGCTGGCGTGCCGCTGCCTCAATGGTGCCCACTGTGATCCTGTGACCGGCCGCTGCCGCTGCGCCACAGGCTGGATCGGGCCACACTGCAACCAGAGTGCGTCTGCCGGCCACCGGTGCATGAAACCAGGGTCTCCCATGGGTGGCTGGAGCCAAAGGCGCGCTCACCGGGGTCTTTTTCTCCGCAGCTTGTCCGGCTCACCGCTATGGTGAGAACTGCAGCCAGGAGTGCCGCTGTGCCAACGGAGCCTCATGCCACCCCGTCACGGGACAATGCCTCTGCGCACCAGGATGGGTTGGCGCTACCTGCCAGCAAGGTATTTTGCTCCAACAGGCTGAGAAATGTTGCATTTGGGCACTCGGATCTTACTCCGGCCTGTTCTTTCTCCCTTTCTCCTCTTCTTCCGCAGGATGCCCGCGGGGGTTCCACGGACTCGCCTGCCAGCAAGAGTGTCTCTGTCAAAACGGCGGATCCTGCGATCCAGTTTCTGGCCGCTGCACGTGTCCAGAAGGGTGGGTTGGACTGGCTTGCGAGCTGGGTAAGAAAAAGGCATTTGGTATTTAATTCCCCCACCTCCTCCCCTCTGGACGAGTAAAGGGGTCTTACTGAGAGTCCTAGAAGGTAAGGCTGGAAGGGGGCCTGAGAGGTCACGTAGTCCAACCCCACATCCAGCGCATTCACTTCCCTTCAGTTCATTCTGTCCCGGTCCCACTCGCAAACGGGATTTTTAAAAAGTCGATGGGAACGGGTGCATTTCTTCTAAAAGAGTTGCATCATTTTGACGTCGCTTTCCTTCCCTAACTCCCTGTGGAATGACTTTAATTGGGAACATGCCTTTATCCAGTTAATATGCAAGGGGTACTGGAGGAACTGGAAAAATGCCAGGAGCAAAATATATATATATATATGTTTTAGATATATTTATACATGGCTATATAGAGAAGGGAATTCTTCCTATTTGCATTTAAATATACCTTTATGTGATTTGGGTTAACACAGAAGCTTGTATACCTTGGCATTAAGCAGGTATTTCCATGGAAATGTGAACTGCATGCTTTTTTTTCTTTATTTTTTTTACAAATGCATGAATTTAAGATAAGCTGGGGCTGCATATCTTGAAAAGCTGCAGTTCCTTTGCTCCCTGCACTTAGTCTTTACCCTTACACCCCTATTTTCTATCTTATGCAAAGCTGCTACTTTTCCACAAGCGTTAGCTTTATTTAATTTTCTGTGGTTTGGACCATGAGGCAGCCTTCAAATTAAGACCCCCCCCCCTCGCCGTTCGAAGTGGTTCAGTCCCAGAAGGGCTATACCAGAGATGTCTCTTTTCTTTAGAGTGCGTCCAAGGAAAATACGGGCCGGGTTGCCGAGAAAGCTGCAACTGTATTAATGGAGGCCGGTGCGACCGGCAGAGCGGGCGTTGCCTTTGCCGTGATGGTTGGACCGGTGAGAAGTGCCAGAAAGGTAAGTCGTAATGGCATTGGCTTTTTCCTTTGTGGCCGGCGGGAGAGGGGTCACCGCCGTCCCCGTATCCGAAGCGGTCCAATGCTTTCAAAGCGAGACTGATCAAATGCATGGAGCGAGGGATGGGATCGAGATTTATCAGGCCTGAGATGCTGGTGGGAAGCCCGCATATGTCTGAATTGTAACGGCAGATACCTTGGGGACAAGGATCTCGATCGATTTCTATGCTGTGGGGAGAACCTTGGTGGCTGCTTCCGAGGGAAGATGCTGCTCTGGTTGCATCTTTGGTTTGGAATGGGCAACCTGGCTGTTTCGCTAAACTTCTTGACGAGCAGTTGAGATTGGAGCTGGTCAGCTGGAAGGAGAGTGTGAGCACCTGGTGGTGCCCCATCCAGGCATCTCTGATTTTTTTTTTTTTTGGCGTAACTTTTAAGACTCGTGTTTGGCTAAGCCGTTGTGTTTGTGTCTTTTGCTAGGCAGCAAAGTGAAATTGCATGATTCTCCCCACATAGTTCGGAAGCCATGGTTTACTCCACCCAATTGTGGCTTGACCAGTAAACCATGGTTAAACGTGGCTTAATGCAAAGTGGGCACCAGGTCAGGAAGAATCCAGCGTTGCATCCAACCATAGAAAGATAGTTTCTAGACGAAGAATAAACTGGGGGTCCTGGACTTTGGATATTTGAATGTTCCCCCCCAAAATTACAAGCGGTGTATAGCTTGGATTTTAGTCTGATGCTGGAGGAATTTCACAATATCTGCAATTCAGTACTCTTTTCTTATCTAGCCATCATTCTTGCTTATCTAATCGAACAAATAAGTAGTTTGGACAGCCAACTTCATTCTTTCTATATTCACCTGCCCAGGGTTTTTGTTAAAAAAAATTTTTTTGCTTCTGAGGACAGATAAACAAGCTGTAAAATCCAAGTACAAGAGGGTTTGGATCACAGGAATTTCTCCAGCAATCGCCCTTTGGCAGCGTTTGGCACGAGCAAAAAAGAGAATTAATTCCAAACACAACCTGATTCTCTAATTCTTTTTTGCTTCCTTTTGTTCCATTCCAGCCAGAGTTTTTGAATCATGCTCGGTGCCAATAATTTTTTTTTTTGCTAGTCTCTAGACTAGCGGGGTTTTGAGGGCGGATATCCTGGTTCTGAACTCCCACAGCTGATTTTTTTGGGTGGGGGGGGCGATGTTCCTTGTTTCTTTAAACCGTGCAATTTGCTGTTGAGAAAGAAGACTTTGCTTTCAGTTCGGTAACGGCTCAAGGTCTGGATTAGAGGGGGGAAATTTTGCAATGGGGAGGGATCAACTGCTGTTGTCAGCAATGCCCCCAAATAATATACAGAGAATTGGTTGGGCAACTCCTTGGAATATGCTTAAAACTGAATTTGATTTGTCATATGGAATCAACAAATTGGGAGGGATCTTAAGGTCATCTAGTCCAACCCCTGTTCAGCACAGGGTCTGGAAGGGCATCTCAGACAAAGGATCATCTAGCCTTTATTTCAAAACCTCACCAGTTGTGTTCAGCGGCTGTTCTACCGTTTGACAGCTTGTGCAGTCAGGAAGTTCCACCTACTATCTAGTCCAAACCTTCCAGGTAGCTCGAATCCCCTGGTTTTGATCGTGACCTTTTGCCTTTTGAACAGATGCATTGGGTTGCTGGCTCAGGTTTGTAATGGGAAGAGAAGAGGCATTCCCTCTTGAGATGCAGGGAAAAGAAGTCTTCTGTTTGATGAGAGAAAGGTCTCTTTGAACATGGAATTAGGGGAGACTTTCTGTCTTGTGCAGGAAAAAGTAAAGGGAATGCCTCTTCTGAGATGACATAAGAAGAGGCATTCCCTCTTGAGAAGCAGTGAGAAGTTTTCTCTTTAAGAAGGAGAAATGTCTCTTTTAACATGGAAGTAGAGACTTTCTCTCTAATGCAGGAAAAACATAAGAAAAACATAAGACATGATAAGAGGCATTCCCTCAAAAGAGGCAACTTTTGTCTTCAGAATCAGAGATTCATTCCTGTGCAGAAAAGGAGCATGTCTCTTCTACATACTCTCTTGTCTGGCTGACAGGAAAAGGGATCCCTCTTCGGGGAACAGAATTAAGAGAGATCCGTATTTCTAAATCTTAAAAAAAACACAAAGTAAATTAAAATTGGCTGCCTGATTAATTGAGGTGATTGATTGAATTGCCTTTCTAATGGATGGACTCAGCAATTCTTTAGCAGTTCCTTCTTTTTTTCAGCTTGTCCTGAAGGAACGTACGGGAAACAGTGCAAGGAAACGTGTGACTGCGAAGATGGGGTCTCGTGCAATCACGTCACGGGGGCTTGTGACTGCCCCCCAGGATGGCGAGGATCCCGTTGTGAGAAAGGTGAAGGCTGAAAGAGGGTTGTTCCTGTCTGAATAACCCTTTTGGGGCAAGACTCAGGAAGTCTGCATACGCTCTGCACCCTTCATTTGGGGGTTACCTACATGAGGTCCCCGTAATGCCAAATTTTAAGACAGCCCTAAATTCTCCCTTTATTCATTCCAAACGTGTCTGGTTCGGTGTGTTTCCGCTGGAGCTGGGATTTTCACATTTTTTGGGGGCGGTTTTTGGGTCAGAGAATCCTAGAATTATTGAGGGCTTGGATCGGAATGGGAAGGGATCCCAAGGATCATCTAGTCCATCCCTCTGCAAAGCGTTGAAAGCATCTATGAGAGGGGGCTGGTTTATTTCTTTGGTATAAGCCATCTTGCGCGAGGGGAGCCCCAAATAAATGAATTAATGCAAACAAATGAATGAACAGATGTCCTGGGTTGCTGGCTCAGGTTTGTAATGGGAAGAGAAGAGGCATTCCCTCTTGAGATGCAGGGAAAAGAAGCCTTCTGTCTGATGAGCGAAATTCTGTTCCAACATGGAATTGGGGAGACTTTCTGTCTTGTGCAGGAAAAAGTAAAGGGAATGCCTCTTCTGAGATGACATAAGAAGAGGCATTCCCTCTTGAGAAGCAGTGAGAGGTTTTCCCTTTATGAAGCAGAAATGTCTCTTCAAACATGGAATTAGGGGAGACTTTCTCTCTTGTGCAGGAAAAAGTAAAGGGAATGTCTGCGTTCTCCTTCCTGGATGGGGACTCCAGCTCCCAGCATCCCCAGCATCCCTGCAGCAATGGCCCATTGGGGACGGCTGCTCTAGGAAGGGGGTGAAGCAGAGAGGGGAGCAGGAACGCTCTCTAAAAAACGAAGCTGGCTTAGGAGTGGTTCCTCCCTTGGGGAATTACCCAGTTGGGGGGTGTGGGGAAATATCCCCCAAATTAAACATTCCCCCCCCCCCCCAGAATGTTTTCTGGTTCGGTTTTTATTCCCCCCTCGCTTCTCCGCTGCTGCTAAAATCCTAACTGGGGTGTCTCCCTCTTTTCTCTGCTCCCCCCAGCCTGCCTGCCCGGTTCGTTTGGGACGGGGTGTGCCGCGAAGTGCGACTGTCCGGCGGGGTCTCCTTGCAACCACATCACCGGCCAGTGCGGGTGTCCCCCCGGCTTCACGGGCCACGGGTGTGAGCAGCGTAAGTCCGGAGGCCGAGCAGCCGCCCCGCTTTCGCATTTGCGGACGAGAAATACGCCCCGCTGGGGTTCTGGCAAG